CCCAGGGGACAATTAGTCCTATTTTTCTAAATTTTTATTTATTTATTTATTTTTCCCCCAAAGCCCCAGTAGATAGTTGTATGTCATAGTTGCACAGCCTTCTAGTTGCTGTATGTGGGACGCGGCCTCAGCATGGCTGGAGAAGTGGTGCGTCGGTGTGCACCCGGGATCCGAACCCCGGGCCGCCAGCAGCAGAGTACGAGCACTTAACTGCTAAGCCATGGGGCCGGCCCTAGTCCTATTTTTCTCATTAACTATTCCAAAAGGGAAACCCTGGGGGAAAAATGATAGGAAAAACTATGGCAGGTGAATTTTTTTTTAATTAAAAAAAAGACTTTATTATAAAATATTCAAAGTAATTAATAGAATGTCTGCAATAAAGTCCATATATGGCTTTCCAAGGTATTTTTCATTTTTAATTATACTCTAGGAAGACATGGATGTAAAATTAGCCAGTTCATACTATCAGTCTAAGGATAATAGCACTGCTACTTGCAAAACAAGGAATCCAGTTAGCTGACGGCAGATATTTTTAGTATAAAAAGGTATATACAATGGAATTTCAACTCTGTTTAAGTGCCTATGCTTTGCAAATAAAGGCTCAAGGTAAATACACTACAATGTTAATCATGGCCACTTCTGAGCAGGAGGATTATGGGAGATTCACATTGTGTTCATATTCCAAATATTGAACAAGAATCATGCATTACTTTTATGATTAAGGAAAAAAATCATTTAAAAAAATAAAAGTTTTAAGTGCTGAAGAATAAATATCTTAAAGTGTGTGGTCCAAGAATAGCACTGAGGTTCTAAGAAGCATATTCCTGTTTTCAAATGGTGGGGAAAAGGCCTTGCATGACACAGGACAGCCTGATCCCTTTTTAGTGTAGTGAAAACAATCCAGGTTTCAGAGTCAGAAGATCTGGACTTGAATCAGGGTTCCTCCACTTTCTAGATAAGTAGCCTTGAAAAAGTCAATGAAACTTTGAGAACCTCTGTAAAACGGATTTCAAAGTATTCAAATCAAATCAAGAAATAAATGAAAATCTAGAGAAATTTCCTTTCATCAATATGATAAAGAATATGCCAGAAGGAGAAGAACTTGTAATGTAGTTGAAAAAAACTGAGAATTTAAGTAGATCACTTGCTTTCTCTGAGACCTCAATTGTCTTCATCTGTAAAATGGGTATAAATAATCTGTGCTGCTGCCAGGGGTATAGTGAAGAATAAATGAGTTGATGTATGTCAAGTGCCCAATATAGGGCCTGATACACAACAGATGTCCAGCTTTCTATGATAAAAAAAGAATATGCCAGAAGGATAAGAAAAAAACCCTTAAAACGAAAAGGTTTTTTTTTGAGGACGATCAGCCCTGAGCTAACATCCGTGCTAATCCTCCTCTTTTTGCTGAGGAAGACCGGGTCTGAGCTAACATCTATTGCCAATCCTCCTCCTTTTTTTTCCCCAAAGCCCCAGTAGATAGTTGTATGCCATAGTTGCACATTCTTCTAGCTGCTGCATGTGGGATGCGGCCTCGGCGTGGCCGCAGAAGCGGTGCGTCGGTGCGCGCCTGGGATGCGAACCTGGGCCGCCAATAGTGGAGCACACGCACTTAACCGCTAAGCCATGGGGCAGGCCTCCAAGGGGTTTTTTTTAGTACTACCAAATGTAAAAGAAAAATTATCCCAAATTTGATCTGAGATAGAACCTTTTTGCCTAATGAAGTGTTCCTGATAAACTATAAGCAATTTTTGGATAAACTTAACGTTTTGGAGAAACTAGCTCCCTTCCCACCAAGCTGTCAGTCAGGCATCTAGTAACCTTTAAATAGAATTACCCTTCTTTTTTGCATCTAAATTCTCTTTTCTCTGTAAATGTCTCTGCCCAGAGAAATCTTTCAATTGGCTTGCTAGAGTTCTTTGCTCTTGCAGCAAGATTGTAATAAACTTTAACATGTGCCCATAACTAAATTGTCAGAATAGATTTTGTTTGTTTTTAACCAAGGAAGGAGAGGCTATAATTCCTACTGAGCCAGTCTTGGGGGGAGAAGAGCGTCAAGGAGCAGACTAGGTGGTGGCGGCTTCTAAAACGAAGAAAAGCAAAATGTCTTGGTCTCTGTGCAGAGGAAGAAAAGGAGAGGAGGTCCCCAGAGGACTACAGTATCCAGAGTTTGACTGACTTGGAGGCTGAATAACCAAAGGGTTCCTAGTCCTTCTGGAACTCTGTTTCCTCAGCTGTCAGATGGGAATGATAGTGCCTGCTTCACAAGCCTCTCTATTGTAAGGCCTACTGCACAAACCACAGGCTTCTGCAGAGCTGTGGTAGGGAGAGGGTGTCAAGTGTTAGACAATGTGAAGATGAAACACAGAATGAATGAATGAATGAAGCAGCACATTGGGGTTTGGGTTTGTTTGCATATCAATCAGAATATCAGTTTACTTTTCAGAAAACATCATGGAATGGTTTAAAAGATACCATTGTTAAAAAAGAGAGAACAGGCCCCAAATGGAGTCAGTTGTGCTAAGCCCCACATCAGCAAACCCAGACTTAATACCTAACGTGATTGCAGTTTCAGCCTCTTCCAGGAATATAACCTCAAACCAGTCAATCTGGAATTTCCTGGTCAGCACTAGTGAGGTCATCCACTTGATAGACCCTTTAGTCTGTACCCCAAAGAAAGATGAGGTAATCTGCTCTCTCCTTGTCCCTCCCCCTTCTGCCTATAAGTCTCCTATTTTGTACAGCTGTTCCAAGCTCCTATTTGCTAGATGGGCTGCTGCCCAATTCATGAATCATTGAACAAAGTCAATCTGATCTTTAAATTTACTCAGTTGGATCTTGTTTTTTAACACCATCTAATTTTATTTTACATAGCCTCCATTCACCGCCCCCCACCCTCCAAATTCCCTCTTTACAAAAGGTTGCTGGTACAATTCGGATACCAAGAACTCAATTAGCTTTAGATTTAGATTCTTAACTTTATAATTTTATTTTATTTATTTATTTATTTATTCCCCCAAAGCCCCAGTAGATAGTTGTATGTCATAGCTGCACATCCTTCTAGCTGTTGTATGTGGGACGTGGCCTCAGCATGGCCGGAGAAGTGGTGCGTCAGTGTGCGCCTGGATCCGAACCCCGGGCCACCAGCTGCGGAGCGCACGCACTTAACCGCTAAGCCACAGGGCCGGCCCAAGATTCTTAACTTTTAACAGTAGAAAATGTAGGGGAGGAAAAATAATTTTCCCTCTACCCTTCTGAGTTCTTGGCTGAGACCCTCTGTAATAAAAGACAGATAAACAAGAGGAAAACACACAGAAGTTTATTAACATGTATACCTCAGGTACAGATGGGAGATACCCAGGGAAACTAAGTACCCCCCCTACCCCCCCAAGCCACCACCTTAAATACCATCTTCAGCTAAAGACAAAAGAAAGATGTTGGGAAGAGGAAATATGAGAGGTTAGCAGGAAAAGCACAGTAAACAAGGGTAAGGTTTTGCAGATTTAAGTCTCAGCCTTCTCCATTGATAAGCTTCTCTTGTGATTTAGAGTCAACCCTCTCTTCCAGGTACAGCGAGGGAGACACCCTCACAAATGGAGACTTCCTTTGTAAATATCAATTTCCCTTAAAAAGGGTAACTTCTACTCTGTTTTCAGAGCTTCCCTGTGCCTGCTGTTTCTCAAAATAATCAGCTCAAAATAATTCTTATACCAAAGACACATATTTTGGGGTGGCATATTCTGCTACCCTTCAAAAACTAATCAAATAGTTCTCTATCTTTATATAACAAAATATAACTTGACCAAGTTGATTAACCCTCTTCATCCCACCTGGAATTACTTCCTTCTCTCTTCATCCTCCCTGCTGTCCCAATCCCTCCCTTTTTTTTTTACTAAATCCTTGCTCCTCCTTTAAGCCTTCGGAACCCATAGTCCTCTCTCTTAGTCCTCTCTCTTTCTCTGGATCCCACTTGTTTGACAATGAATTAAGAAGTATGTCTTTTGAAGTATGTCTTTTGAGGTTAAACTTTCCTTTTTGTATGCTTTCCCCCAAATTCAATGTAATTCCCTTAGTTTTTTTTTTTTTTTTTT